GCGCTCGCCACGGCGAAGAGCCTTGAGGCGAGACGTGCCTCAGGCAAGGGAGCGCGCGGCGACGACGACGGCGGCGGAGTGGAGGCTGTCGAGGCGCCGGCAGCTGCGCCTCCGCCGGCCGCTCTGCCTCTTGCGGACGCGCCGCTGCCCGCCGCGGCAGCACCACAGGTGTGGCGCTGTACGTATGAAGGCTGCACATACAAGTCGACGAAGCTCATCAAAACCGGGCTGATGTTTGCGCACGGCCCAATGTCCCAGCGGTGCCCTGGCTCGAACAACCCGCAGTACCGCCCCAGCGCCTTGGCGGTGGTCTCGGCGGTCGTTGTTGGCGACGCCGCCGCTGGTGGCGGCCAGGTCACGCGCGGGGAAGTGGTGGTGGCCGCCACCGGTTCGTAGCGGTGACATGCGTGTGTTTCTTGCCTGTGCCATGGTGTGCGTGCGTGCGCGCGCGTGAGTGTGTGTGTTCGTGTGCGTGTGTGGGGCGTGTGTGTGTGTGGTGTGTGTGCAGACACTGTCTCGGAGACACCGCCTACGGCGCCTTAGAGCTTACTTTAGAGTGTGCTGTTGTTGTGCTGGCTGCTTGTTCGTCAGTAGTGACTTTCCTCTGTTTGTGGCCACCTTTGTTTCGGGTGTGCGCTGGAGCTTTCAATGTAGTCGGCCGCGCACATACGACGCACGCGCGTGACATCATCCGTCGCCTGTCGCGACGAGTTGGCGACGGTCGCCGTCTCGCGATCTCTATACCTTCCTGTCTACCTCGCCCGCAGCGAGTACGACCTCGCGTGCGGGCAGGTTTGAGGACGCATGCGAGTAGAGATAGGCTCAGGCGCATGACGTACGCAGCGGGTACACCGCGCGCGTGTATGTGTATGTGTGTGTGTCCCTGTCTCTTATTTGTCTAAGGTCTGTCTCTGTTTGAGGTGGTCTCTCAGTGAGAGTCTATCTGAGGTGTCGCTCGGGTTGTTGCCTTAACTAGATAACATTCCCATATTCTTTAATAGCGGCTAGTTTGTCACAACACGTGCCGCAAGACACGGCGCTTCCAATCAAGAAAGTCATTAGCGTGGACGCATCCTCGACGCGAAGAGCCATGCAGTCACTCGAATTACTTGGACCTCTCCTGCAAGTAGAACGAAACATTCTTGGAGCTTCCCCCTACATGCAGGAACGCATCTCATCCGTGGCGACGCGCTGAGCCACCGAGCCGTACTCGGCCGCGCCGCCGCGTCGAGGCACGGGTCCCCCGCCAAGCAGCGACGCCGAAGCGTCGACCGATAGAGCGCCACGCCCAGCAGTATGGGCGTCGACCGCTCTCTCGAGCGGCCGCGTGGCAGTGCGTGGCGCGGGCGCCACGGGCGGCAAGCGTGGAGCCGCTGGAAGAGCCGGTGCGAGCCGTGGACGGCAGCCGCTCCCCACGTCGCCGAGAGAGGCTGCGGGAGAGGGCTCAGGAGGCCACCGGAGGCGCCGGGAGGCTCGGGAGGCGCTAAAAAGTGGCCCGGGCACCTCGCGCCACCCGTCTGGTGGGGCCGGGTGGGCTCAGGAATTAATCCAGGATTTTAAGGTGATCCACTACACCTGACCGAGAATTGGATGTGTCGCTATATATATTCGGTAGCAGAAAGAGCCGAAAAGGAGGCCGGCAGGCCGATTCTGGCGGCGAGACGCGAAAAACGGGTGAGGGGCCGTTTCCTCACAGCAAAGACACAATGGGATCATGGGAGTATTCATGTGTGGCGATGCAGAAACGCGCACACACTCTATCAACAGCGCACAAAGCAGTCACGGTACACAAGAGAGCGAGCAGCAAGTTCAGTGCGCTGTGGCAGCAGCGTCAGCGCGCTGGGGGCGCCACCGGGGGCGCAAGCGCCTGGCGCTCCCGTGCCTGGCGCGCGCGCTTGAGTTTCGCGCGGTGGTTCTTCATCCATCGGACCGCCTGCGCGGCAAGGGAGCGAGGGGATCAGCCTTCGATGCGGCCAGGGACGCGGTGGGAGCGCGTGTCGCCGCTGCGGTGGCGCGCGCTGCGACGGCGTGCACGCGGCGCACCGGCGCCGCGTCGCGTCGCGGCGCAGTGCTGGCGGCGTGCAGGCGGCGTGTCGGGGCGGGTGGCGGTGACGAGGTGCTGGGAGTGGCGGCGCGAGCGAGGCGGCGCGCGGTACGGAGGCGGTGGCAGCGCGGCGGCGTCGCGTCGGCGGTGGTAGCGCGGCGGAGCGGCCAAGGGGCGGGGCGGGGCGGGCGCGGGGGGCGGGGGGCGGGGGGCGGGGCGGGCTGGGGCGTGGCGCGCACAATGCTCGCATCGATTCCCATCATGTTGGGCGCCGTCAAGTGGCGGTAGTCGATCGTGCAGTTGCAGGCGGTGGGGCCGCACGGTCGTGCCTTGACTGGCCGCAGCGGCAAGTTCTTGTGGTCGACGCCGGTAGCCCGTCGTCGAGCGCAAATCTCCAGACGCTTTCGCGAGCTCTCGTAGAGAGTGTAGGCAAGCTTCAGAGTGCGCTCTTGGAAGCCGTCGAGGTCGAGGGCGAAGTTGAGATCGACGCGCGGATCGCCCCGCCTCGCTCGCGGAGCGAACTTGTGCCGGCGCGCACCGCCGCTCCGGAGCGGCGGGTCGGGCCGGCGAGTCGGCCGCAGAGGCGGCTCCCCGCCGATCGGATCGGCCGGCCGAGGGCGGACAGGAGCCTCGTTCAGGGTGGACGGGCCACGAGCCAACGGTGCGCCCCATCGCCGCGCCGCGGGGAGAGCGGCAGCGGCCGCGACCATCGCCCGACCGTCCAAAGCCTGCTAATCCACGCCGGAGGTTGGCTGGGAAAGGGTGGGTGGGAGCTGGCGAGGTACTTCCAGCCTGCTGTGGGAACTCTTTTTTTGGCATGGAGACGCAAGCCACAGGTTCAAAGCACAGTGCGAAACTTGGTTGCAACCTGGTAAAAAGAGGCTCGCAGAGGTCGCAAGTGACCTCGAGTCAAAGTGGGACGCGGCCGCGCCCTGGAGGGCGAAGGGCGGCTGACTGCGCGGAAAAAGAAAGAAAACGGACACGCCAAGGGAGGGATGAAAGGACGGCACGCCGCCACCACACAGGGATTTTAAGGAGAGGGGTGTGATGCGCTAGCCGTCACCCACCCGCCTTGGGCGTCCGCCTCTTCCTATCTCCCTTCGCAGTCTCTCGCCGATTCTCGCTGCAACCTTCATGCCACCTCGCGGTCGTCCCACTCTCGTCGTTCTCTCCTGACTGCGCGGTAAGGACTGCTGGAGTGCTGGTTGTTTTTGTTTTAGGTCGGTTGTTGGGACGCGGAGGCGTCGCGCTGCAAACACGTCGTGAAAGAGAAAAGAAAATACGCGGCGATCTAGCCGCGAGATAAGACTCAACGCCCGGCGCCGAAAAAAAATATTCACAGCTCGCGGGAATGTACGTACGTCAGAGCCACATACACTGAGAGAGAGAACACACACCCCTCTCCCTTTTCTCCCAGCAGTAAGCTAATAAAGTAAGTGCATACACTACTGAAAGAGATCCGAGCTCTCACGCCGCGCCGCCCGCGCGTAGGGCCTTTAGGGGCCTAGAGAACACGCCCTCTCCCTTTTCTCCCAGTATAAAGCTAACACTCGTGCAACATAGCTACAAACACTCGCAGCTGATGGTCGCGCGAGCCGCCCTGTCGTCCGTCGGAGAGAGAGATTTTGTTTTTTTTCGTCGGCGGAAAAAAGATGGCTCCTCCGGGCCTGCTGCGGCGGCGCGGCCGGTTGAGGTCGGGCTCGGCCCGGCCCGCAACGGCTGGCCGCCGACGAGCGCGCTCGCGCTGCTCGTCAAAATGGCGGCGGTGGCGATTGCGGCGACGGTCGTTCCAGTCGTACAGCGCTCAGGCGTCTGTCATCTGTCGTCTGTTGTCGCATTTCGCACACGCGCGCGCCGCGCGACCCGCGTCGCTCCGCGAGGGCATGAGCCTTCCGCGATTCGATCCCGCAGCCAAAAGCTGCTCGCTCGAACCGCGGCCGACTCCGCCATCGCGGCCGCAGCTGTTGAGCTCTTCAGAAGACTGGTGCCTCATATGCTGCCTCCCTGCGGATGGTACGGCGAGGTTGGCGGTCCGCTGTACTACAAGGAAGTGCTGACTCGATTCTACCTCGAATTCTTCTACCCCCACGACTCGGAACGCGGATGTGACAGGACCATCGGGTCCTTCGGCCACCAAAGTGAGATCACCCGAGAGCAGCTGAGCCTACCTCTGGCCTCGCCTCCCTCTCCTTCAGGCATTCGTGGCATCCTATATGGGTCGTCCAGAGTATCGACCTCTGGCGAGTCAGCCAGCCCCACTTTGAGGGCGCCATGGAAGTACAGCGATCGCCACCTCGCTGGCCTCTCCGCAGCAGGCCCCCCGACCGCGTCGAACTCATCGGCGCGGGCTCGGCTCGGCTACGGGACCGGCCCCAGCTTCGGCTGAGCCTGAGGGCTGACAAGCTGCCGAGCCCAAATCACTGACTGTGAGAGTCGTGATTTCTTGTTGGTTTTCTAAAATCTGTGTGCCCCTGTGATAGTACTAGCACGCGCCAGTTCGCACCTGTGTCGAGCCTGTGTGCTGTGAGAGAGAGTTCTTTTGTTTAAATTCTAAAATCTCTCTCTCGAATGTTTCGAGCCCTAGTGTTCGAGCCCTGGAAGAAAGTGAGTCGCACAGGCTACGCGCCCACCGTGGGACTGTTGTGAGGAGTATATCGTCATGCAGCTGTGCCACACCTACGACCTAGCACAAACATCGGCAAAGTCCAAAGAAGTCGGGAACTTGGAGCTCTCCTCTTTTTCTTCACAGCGCAGCACCGAAGCATCTAGGCCCACGAGACGCTTGCACTCGCGCGGCTCTCTCCGCTCTCCCCTCGCCGTGTTCGGGTATGTCGTGCATCGGCATCGACGTCGGCTACGCCAACGGAGGCGCGCAGCCTCTAAACACCGCTCGGCCTCTCCACTCGGCTCAGCCGTGAGAACGCGCGAACTCAGAATCGTCTCCGCGCGTCCACAGTTGTCGCGATCGCCCGGCGCGGCGGCATTGACATCCTTGACAATGAGGTGTCCAAACGGGCCACAGCGTGAGCATCTCCCGGCCGCACCCTCGTCCTTCTCCGCGCCCTCGTTGCGAACGCTGGCGGCACCCGCATCGCTGCTCCGCCGCCGCCCCGCAGGTGCATGGTCGGCTTCTCGGGCAGCGAGCGGAAGCTCGGCGAGGCTGCGCTCAGCGGGGTGCGCCGCGGCGGCCGCGCCGCCACCGATGCCGAGTGCCGCCGGCCCGCCGTCTGAGCGCCGCTCCGCCCGCCTCTCCAGATCACGTCCAACATGACCAACACAGTGACGGGCCTCAAGGCCATCGTGGGCAAAAAGTTCCACTCGGACGAGATCCAGTCCGAGATGCCGAAGGTAGCGTACAAGATGATCGACGTCGCGGGCAACGTCGGCATCCCCGTCCACTACCGCGGCGAGGAGACCGTCCTCACCCCGGAGCGCATCTTTGCCATGTTCCTCAAGTCGCTGCAGGGCATCGCCGAGCGCAACCAAGGCCCGTCCCCCCAGCCGCCGCCGACGGCGGTGCTGGCGGTGGAGGCTTCGCTGAGCCTGCTCGCGGCTTTGTCTGTAGGCGCCCCCGTCACCGACGTCGTGCTCGCCGTGCCCGCATACTTCACTGACGTCGAGCGGCGCGCTGTGCTCGACGCCGCCAAGGCACCACCCTCACCTCCTCCCTCACGACCGCCTCTCGCCTCCCGCCCTGCTCGCTGCTGCCTCCGGCGTTCCCCTCCTCCCTGCTGCCTCCCTCTTCCCTGCTGCCTCCCTCTTCCCTGCTGCCTCCTCCCTCCCCGCTGCCCTCGCGACTCCCGCCTCACCGCTGGCCCTCCCCGCCGCCGCCCTCCCCGCCGCCGCAATCCCCGCCGCTGGCCCCGACCGCCGCTGCCCTCTCCGCCGCTGCCCTCCCCAGGTCGTCGGCCTGAACGTGCTGCGGCTGATGAACGACTGCACCGCCGCCGCCCTCTCGTACGGCATCTACAAGACCGACTTGCCCGCCGACAAGCCGACCAACGTCGCCTTCGTCGACTGCGGCGCGAGCGACACCACCGTCTCCATCGTCGAGTTTGTCAAGGGGAAGCTCAAGGTGCTCTCCGCCGCGTGCGAGCGCCACCTGGGCGGCGAGGACTTCACGCGCGTCATCGCGGAGCACTTCAACGAGATCTGGAAGGAGAAGCACGGCATCGACGCCCACACCAACAAGAAGGCGTGGTTCCGGCTGATGGTCGCCGCGGAGAAGACGAAGAAGGTTCTCTCGTCAAACCCGCAGGCGCCGATCGCGATCGAGTGCTTCATGAACGACATCGACGTCAAGGGGATGCTCGAGCGCGACGAGTTCCTCGGCATGTGCGCGCCGCTCATGGCCAAGCTCGAGACGGTCATCCGCGACGCCTTTGCCGGCTGCGGGATCTCAAAGGAGGAGATCGCGACGGTCGAGATCGTCGGCGGCTCGTCGCGCGTGCCCGCCGTGCAAAAGGCCATCTCCGAGTTCTTTGGGCGCGAGTGCTCCAAGACGCTCAACTTTGACGAGTGCATCGCCAAGGGCTGCGCGCTGCAGGCGGCGATGCTCTCGCCCGCCTTCAAGGTTCGCGAGTTCGAGGTCAAGGACGTGACGCTCTACCCGATCGCCCTCTCGTGGTCGCCCACGGCGGCCGGCGCGCAGACGGACGCGATGGAGGTGGAGGGCGAGGCGGACGCGGCGCCGAAGGCGGGCGCCTCCTCGTCGGTCGTCTTCCAAAAGTTCAACGCGGTCCCAAACTCGAAGATGCTCACCTTCTCGCGCAAGGGCACCTTCACGCTCTCGGCGGCGTACGACGACTCGGTCTCCCTGCCGGGCGGCTTCTCGCCCTCGCTCAACGAGTTCACCATCTCGGACATCCCGCAGCGCCTGGACGCAGAGGGGAAGCCAGAGGCGTCCCGCATCAAGGCGACACCTCCGAGAAGCTTCCCGCGCGCGCGCCCATCTCGCACCTCCCCTCCCCTCCCCGGCCTCGCCTGCCCGACGCCCCGCCCGCCCGCCCGCCTGGCCGCCCGCCAGGTCAAGCTGAAGCTCGACCTGAACGGCGTGCTCTCCCTCGAGTCGGCCGTCGTCCTCGAGGAGGAGGTGGTGATCGAGGAGGCGCCGCCCGCCGAGCCCGCGCCCGCGCCCGCGCCGGAGGCGCCCGCGGGCGGGGAGGCGCCCGCGGAGGGGGCGGAGGCCGCGGACGCGGAGGCGGCGCCGGAGCCGGAGCCGGCGCCGGCGCCGGCGCCGGCCGAGGAGAAGAAGCGGTCGAAGAAGGTGAAGCGGATCCCGGTGACGGTGAGCGAGGCAAAGTCGGTGGGCATGAGCGCGCAGGAGCTGATGGAGGCGCAGGAGGAGGAGGGGAAGATGGCGATCGAGGACAAGCGCATCAAGGAGAAGGCGGACGCGATGAACCAGCTCGAGGAGACGATCTACTCGATGAGGGACAAGCTCAGCACCTCGCTCTCTGCCTTCTCGACGGAGGACGAGAAGTCGCCTCTCATGGCGCTATTGACCTCGCTCGAGGACTGGCTGTACGAGGACGGCATGGACGTGGAGAAGTCGGTCTACGACGCAAAGTACGCCGAAATCATGGACAAGTGCGGCCCGATCGAGGCGCGCGCGCGCGAGGCCGACCTGAGGCCCGACGCGATCGGCGAGCTGCGCAAGGCGCTCGCGCGCTTCTCCGAGTTTGTGGGCAGCTCCGATGAGGCGTACGCGCACATCGAGGCGGACGACAAGGCCAAGGTCGCGGCCGAGGTGGAGGCGGCGACGGCGTGGCTGTCGGAGGCGGAGGCGAAGCTGGCAGCGAGCCCCGCCACCGCAGACGCGCCCATCAAATCGGCCGAGATCACGGCCAAGGCGAGCGCGCTGGAGGGCGTGTGCAACCCCATCATGCGGAAGCCCAAGCCGGCGCCCAAGGTGGAGGCTGCACCGCCCTCGCCCGCGCCGGTAGAGGCGGAGCCGGCGCCTGCCGCCGAGGGCGACGACGCGGCGGCGGAGCCTGCGGCCGCGCCGCCGCCGCCTGCGGGGGCGGATATGGACGTCGACTAATGATCCAGACGCATTCTGGGGGCGCGGCACGGGGAGTTGCCCCGGCGCTGCGGTGGAGGCTGAGCACGCGCGGCACGTGCGTGCGCGAGCGGCGAAAGAGGCCTAGCCGGTTGCTGCTCGATCGATCAAGGTCGGAGGTGATGCGGTGGTTTCCACTAGGGGGCGTGGCTTTAATATGCATTTATGCTAGTGAGAAAAAAAATGATAGTGAAATATGGCTTTTGCGTTTTGGAGCGCAAGACACTGTATCTCGAGGGGTCGACAGGGGGGAAATCTCATGTGTTGTTGATGTTGTTGATTGTTGTAGCGTCTGTAGCGCTCCCGGCAAGCGCTTCGGCCTTCTACTATTAAATTTATTGTGGCCGCGCCCTCCCAGGTCTGGGTAATCGCCTGTGATCACCAAGGGGTCCGTGCATGGCGTGCGGCAGCGCGCGCCCTCGGCCCAGAGGTTCAGCAGCATCTTCGCCTCCGGACAAGGCGACATGGCACTCGGCGCGCCATTGCGCCAGAGCTCCACCGTCCTGACGATACGACCAGCCTCCGCCTCAAAGCGATGCGAGAAGCGAATGAGCGGTTGCGCAGCCAGCGTGACGGGGCACAAGCTGCGACTCAGATCAGCCTGCTCTTCGAGGCGCGAGGCGCGCTGATCTGCCGCTTGACGTGCCTGCTGCTCTTGCTGCAAACGCTGCTCTGCCGCCTGACGTGCCTGCTGCTCCTGCTGCAAACGCTGCTCTGCCGCCTGACGTGCCTGCTGCTCCTGCTGCAAGCGCAGCTCCAGAACTTGGAGCCGCGAAGCGGCCTCCGGGACCTCGACCTCCTCCGGGACGTGGACCTCCGGCGCTGCCAGCCAGGCGCTGCACTGGCCAGGCTCGCTCCCCTCCGCACGCACGCGGATTGTGTAGCTCTCGCCGCTGACAAGCCCGTCGCTCTGGTCGAGCTTGCGGCCGACCAAGATGAGCTCCTCTGTTGGCTCGTTGGAAGCGGCCTCGTGCGCTGGCGTCCAGCCGTCCGCATCCGCAGCAGTCAGCACCTCTCGCCCGCACTGCTCGACGAGGAAGCGGAGCACGTCGACAAGGCCATTGGAAGCGGCCCAGTGCGCTGGCGTGTGGCCGCCCGCATTCGCAGCCGTCAGCACCTCTCGCCCGCACTGCTCGAAGAGGAAGCGGAGCGTGTCGACCTGGCCGTTGGAAGCGTTGGCGCGCAGCGGCATGTGTACCCCGTAGTTCGGGCACTTCAAGTGGTGAAGGCCTTTGTGAGGAGCCACACACCCGGGAAGGCAGCTGTTGAGTCGTGGTTTAATGGCCCAGTGCGCTGGCGTGTCGCCGGATTCCGCAGCCGCAGCCATCAGCACCTCTCGCCCGCACTGCTCGAAGAGGAAGCGGAGCACGTCGACATGGCCATTCTCTGCGGCGAGGTGCGCTGGCGTGCGGCCGTCCGCATCCCAGAGGCCGTCCGTAGCAGCCGTCAGCACCTCTCGCCCGCACTGCTCAACAAGAAAGCGGAGCACGTCGACACGGCCATTGGAAGCGGCGAGGTGCGCTGGCGTGCTGCCGGTCGCATCCGCAGCAGTCAGCACCTCTCGCCCGCACTGCTCGACGAGGAAGCGGAGCGAATCGACATGGCCATTGGTAGCGGCCCAGTGCGCTGGCGTCCTGCCTGGCGACCAGCCGTCTGCATCCGCAGCCGTCAGCACCTCTCGCCCGCACTGCTCAACAAGAAAGCGGAGCACGTCGACATGGCCATGCTCTGCGGCGAGGTGGGCTGGCGTGCTGCCGTTCGCACCCGCAGCCGTCAGCACCTCTCGCCCGCACTGCTCGAAGAGGAAGCGGAGCGCGTCGACCTGGCCACTGGAAACGGCGTCGTGGGCAGGTTTGTTGCCTGCCGCTCTCGCAGCCGTCAGCACCTCTCGCCCGTACTGCTCGAAGAAGCAGCGAAGCGCGTTGACATGGCCCTCTTGAGCGGCGAAGTGCGCTGGCGTGTCGGGTGTCGCCCTACCAGCCGCCATGAGCTATCCGAGGTCCGGTCCGCTTCGGCCCAGGGACGTCCGAAACGATTGCATGTTGCATGAACACGCGTGTGCGGTGAGGCGGAGCAGACGCGCAGGGCGAGACGAGGGAGGGAGCAGGACTTTGCGGAGATCAGCAGGAGGATGTACGAAGAGATTAGGAAGGGACCCGAGGGACCATGTGGAAGACGGCTAGTGCTAGTCCCCCATCGGGAGGACGACCCCGGCTAGTCGCCGACCACACCCACAAAGAACCCTGCACAAAGACCGCAGGGCGGGGACATGTTCCTTTTTACCCATCTCACAGTAGAGAGGAGTCCGTTTTTATTTATTTATGTATGGCTTTTGGAGCGCCTTTTTTGTAATTGTATCTCGACCGGGGTCATCTCATAAGTCATATGTTGTTGTTGATTGTTGTAGCGTCTGCAGCGCTCCCGGCAAGCGCTTCTGCCTTACTACATTCGGACACCGGTTCAAATCGCGGCCACAATAAATTTAATAGTAGTAAGGCAGAAGCGCTTGCCGGGAGCGCTACAGACGCTACAATTTTGGCCCGGGTCCTTGATTGTAATCAGCCTGCGGGTGAGGGCAAAACCTGCGCCGCTGCAGCTTATAGAGGGTGGGGGAAAATTTTCCGCCCTATATAAAGCTGCCGTTGAGGTAGACGGTACAACGCTCAGAAGAACTGTCACCCCAGGGAGGTCTCGAGCGACGACGCGCCTCAGCGTGAGCGAGCGACGACGTTGGAGAAGCCCTGGGTTTTGGGGTACCGGCCTCTCACCCGCACCTTTGCGCGCCACTTCTTGTCTGTCGGCCCGCCGCCGAGCCCCGCCTCCTTCTCGGCGGACCGCCAGCGGTCGCGGCGCGAGTCTGGCCCGCCAAACACGGCCGCCGCCTCGGCCCCTGCCTCGCGAGGTGCTCCGGGTGATCCGGCGGCGGAGACGCTGGCGCCGGCCGCCGCCGCCGCGTTCCACACCAAGACGAGGCCCGCGCAAGTTCCGAGCACAAGGGTCGACGGATCGCGGCGGGCGCCGAGCGCGGGCGCGCCGACGCAATTCAGCACCGTCGCGGAGCCCGGCACGCGCGCCTCCCACAGAGGCCGCGCGGCGGGGGCGGAGCAGCTCGAGCCTCGCAGCGCGCGCATGTCGTACAGCGCGACCGTCTGCGAGGCGCAGGAGAAGGGCGTGCCGCAGTGCACGCCGCCGTCGATGCCGACGAGCAGCTTGCTGCCGTCGAGGTGCAGCTGCCGCGCCGTCGTGCCGCGCACGGGCAGCGGCATCGAGCCGACCAAGGCTCGGCGCGCGCTCGGGGGCAGGTCCATCCACAAGTCGCCTCCGCCCGCGCGCAGGAGGTCCGAGCCGCCCACGGCCTCGGGCCCCGGCAGCAGCCTCAAGTCCCACAAGTGGACCTGCCCGGCGGTGAGCGAGGCGGAGGCGGCGAAGCCGCGCCCGTCGTCGGCGGCCATGGCGACTATCGGCGACCTTGCTGCTGGCGGCGGGACCGCGGAGAGGATGGCG